CGGGCCCCCATATGGCGATCGCGAAGACCCGTCGAACGGGCAGCCTGGCCCGCGTTTCTGAAATGCAACCGCGGACTCGGCACTCTGATCTATCCGCCATGAAATCCCGCTCGGCCGCCCCCCGCGCGTCGTTGTCCTGGGCGCGGCTGTAGCGGGTGTCTCGGACAATGTGGCCATCGTCGTCGCGAGCCAAGTGTCGTTTGGAATTTCAATGTCTGATTTCCTGCTCGCTCCAACCTCTGGGTTGGCGTCGACGCGTGTACTCGTCGGGGGCAGCCATTCGGCCTCGGTCGTCGCGATGCTTGAATTTTCCCCTGCCCCCGGGGCGGTCGCCGGAAGACCCCGCCCACTGCGCCGCGGCAGTGGAGGTGGCAATGGCGGAGCTGCCCCAGCCGATGGCTCTGGGCCCCTCGGCGGCGATGCCGGCGACCGTCGGGGCCGGCCCGCGGCTGGGGATGCAGTCAGTCATCTCGTTTCTTCTCACGCGTCCGTGCAGATGGGCATGTGGCGCCCGCGTTTTCGTCGTCGTCCACGAACTCTACGTCGCCATCCTCCAGGCGCTGCCGCGCCCGCCCAGTCCTGGAGCGGGCCGGCCTTTTCCTGGCGCCCGCGCAGCTCGTCGAAGAGGTCGTCGGCGCGCTGCTCGGCCTTTGCGGGTCCTGTAGCGAAGCGCGTCATCGTGAGCCAAGCGGTCGACGGTGCCGCCCCGCTGGTGAGTTGAACGAAGGGAAATTGACGCGCTCGATATCATGGCCCGCAATGTGTCTGGGCCAAGAAATGCGGAATCGCCTCTTTTCTCTCTGCCATGTGAGCACTGGGCCTGGAAAGCGTTGATGCTGCCGCAGGTGTTGCACTTCATGCGGTTCCCGCTTCGGTCCAAGGGATCCATCTTTCGCCCCCTGCCATTCCCCGCGGCGTTTCGGCGCCCCGTAGCTTTCCCTGCGCCGACGAATCTGTCTTCCAACAGGTGAGCACTAAGAGATGTCAAGATCGTGACAACATCGCGACCGTGCAATCTCCCCCGGGCGTTGCACCTGCCTCGCTCCTTGCGCCCCCCGTGAAATACTCTTCGCACTGCGTGCCTGACGCGTCTGATAGGTTTCTTGACGATTTGTCTCCAACGATGCTCGGCATGTTGGCATCCGAGAGAATATCGTTCGGTAGTCCGCTCGTCAATAAAATGCATTGGCACGCCTATTTACGGTATGTTTTCCGTGCCCGATGATGAGACGGTGTCGGAGTCGGTGCCAGATTCGAAGGGCGAAGCGGTTTGCC